GAGTATAGCAGTAGGGCTTGTGCAGTTAGGGGAGTAGGTGTCCGAGAAGATGCAGAGCAATGCCCAACTCAAACACAAGCTGGAGGTCCTAAAACCTGGATGGCACGCGACATGCCACATCAAGAAGTTTCCTCACCGCGCGAGCATCGCAACATCGTGACGCAGCGTTAAGCTGTTAATCACAGCCTAGGCACAAAGCTTTGGTATAAGATCAAAGCAAAATCCTTTGGGCAACTATCAAAACACAAGCCACATTCAGCAACCAGGGGGGCCACAGCAAGTGCTGATTCATATCACAGCCGAATCGAGGTGCACTAACACACAAAGAGGATGCACTCATTTTTTGGGTTGACCTGGGCAGGCCTCGGTGAGTAAGCGAGGGGGGGGGGCAAGACCCCTCAAACTCACTAGCGCGCAGGTGCGCACATATCAGAAGAGAAGGATGATGGATGGGCACAGGCCACGTGAATGGCACAAGTCGCAACAGCATGCACCAGTCATACAACTTTGTCCGAAGACTGCGCTCAGTACGATGCGGAGCCTAAGTGGTCTGACCGCACTCGGAGCCTTGCCAATACATTGTCAATACATACCACAGTCCTGGGCACTGAGAGGTAAGAAAAAGTGGTGCGAGCATGCGCAATCTCAAAGATCTGTTGGGGATGGGGGCTGACGCAGAGCATGGACTCAGTGGCCATGCACTTGCTGTCGAGACGTATGTAGGCATGCACGCAACGGTAGCAGGACCTCGGGCGTCCTCATGAGCAGACAAGGACTTGGCATGGCAGGGTTAAGAAAAAGCCGCTTGGCGGACAGCGGAGAGGTCCAACTGGCATGTCTTCGTGTGGCAAGCTGCGCATGGAGTCCATAGACTTACTTGTAGGTAATTGCGACCTCGTACCTTCTTTGGTCTTCGGTCAGGGCACCAGCACTCGATCAACCGCGGCGCAGGTAAGATACTCAGCCCCGTGGGGCTCCTGCCAACATAACATGCAAGTGCCTTTCTCTGGTCGGTATGTAGACTTTCGTGCAATGGCGACGGCACACGAGTGTTCGCGTCCGGTTTGAGTGGCGCTCTGGGAGTAAACATCAGCGATCCCCCTGCCGCCGGCTGAAGACGGTAAGTTGCGTGTAACTTCACGTCTTGGATCTGTGTATGCTAAGCTCCTCATGACATCTCATGACTAGCTTACAACCAAATCAGACTGACTTTGCTCAACACAGTGTACGACCCAACATTACCTGACCACTTCCTTACAAACAGGTCACTGAGTGGTTGCCTGCTCTATGCTCTCTGATCTGGGCCACAAGCTGTTCAGGGGAAGTGTCCGCTGCATGGACATCAGTGAGCTTTCAATGTCCTGCCGAGGAATGTTGGATGTATGGACTGACAATCACAACCCTTAATAGGGATTATACTAGGGGGTACTATACTCCCATTTAGGACTGTTAGTAGAACATCCATGTTGAGGCAGGCTTCGCTGCACTCTCTAACCTCCAAGTCAGCACCCATCAGGCTCCAGTGTGTCCCAACAAATGCCGCCCAACTTGGGCAGCAGGATTTCGGAGCTCGATATATCACAGGCGGTCGAAGCATGGAACAGTACTGACTTATGCACCAACAGAGCTAACTCCTGCAGTGCTGTATGCTATTGGCCTCTGTGAGAACAAAGAAACTCAAAAACCCTCCTAAACAAAACCCTCAACTCCTGAAGACTCATTAGAGGTTCGTGGGTAGTTCTAAGTAGGGTGATAAGTAGGGCAACGATACAAACAGCTTGCTATATCCTGATTGAGGGTACTTGTAACCCTGCCTATAACTACCCACGAACCTTCAAGCATGCCTTGAGTCCGAGTTGTGCCTGCAGGTGCTCCTTGCTAACCTGGCCGCCGCAACCTCTGCTTCACAGAGCTGCACGGAAGCGCATCCCGTCTGCCTACCTGAACTTTGAATGCCTTTGCTGTGGTTTCTACATTCGGGTTTAGGGTTTACAAGCCCTATAGGGCTCCCGAAAGACCCTCGAACGCACACAGGCCTGTCTCAAATCCCACCCAGAATGTTCTGCTTGGAACATCTCTTCGTTTCCCTTCTCCCAGTTATGATGGCCCCTTTGTGGGTCTCTGTGGGGGTATACTGCAGCCTCGAACAGGGTACCCACGCATGTTATGGTATCCCAAAAAAGCTTCATTCATAAGAATGATCTTTTCAATAGCCCCTTGCCTTGGGTCTCATATAAAAATGAGAATGCTTCCTGCGGGGGCTATAGGTCCATTGAGAGGTATTTTGCAGCTCGGTACCCAGATCTTCCCAAACCCCTTCAGTAAGGAAAATGCCCTAATTTATACTAAGGATCCTTAGTATGAAGTAGTGTGTATTCCTTGATTAACTATACTCTCCTTAGAACCTTCATGAATATAATATGTTTAATACCCTCTTTGGTTTTATATGAACACAAATTTGAAAATGATTCCCAAGGGGGATATAGTTAAGGGGTTTTGGAAGATCTGGGTATGCCCTAAACCCTAAACCCTAAACCCTAAACCCTAAACCCTAAAGTGGGGTTCAATTCACAGCTCAGTAGAGCTCGGCCGGGGCCCGCGCCCAGGGCCTCGCCCAGAGCGCTCTGCAGCTCGAGCTGGGCAGTGGCGGCCTCAGGGCGAGGGCTCCCGAGGTTAGGGTTTAGGGTTTAGGGTTTGGGGTTTAGGGTTTGGGGTTTAGGGTTTAGGGCTCAGGGCTTAGGGTTTAGGGCTTAGGGCTTAGGGTCTAGGGCTTAGGGTTGAGGGTTGAGGGTTTCGGGTTGAAGGATCTACCTAGAATAGCCCACAGACTCTTAAAGCGCGAACAAACTCGGTTCAGGCTTTCGTCCGGTCTTGGGTCCTGAGTCCTTTCGATGGCATGTCAGCGGGTTGTTGCTCTTCAGGGCATTTGGACTTGTTTCGGATCCGCCTTCAGGCATCTTTCATGCTGATAGTGGACTCCCCCCTTTGGCAGTGTCTGAGACGCTGCAAAATTCTTTACACAACTTCATTTCTGTGCTCTCCGACCTTGCATTGCCACTGCACTCATCACTGTCGTTCAAGAAGCACCAGGGAGCCGACGTCTACAGTGGCTCTCAAACTCGCCTTGGGAGCGAAAGCCTGCAGAGGCCACAGCACTTCCGAAGAGCCTTTCTTTGTGGCCTCGGGGCCTCCTTCCTACTTTCGCTGCACAAAGCTGAGAAAGTGTGGCAAAGGGTGCTACTTGTTCTCAAGTCTTCGTCTCTGCTGAACCTGCGGATGACACCAATCAGCATTGTCAGGCAGCGCCGTGCCTCCACGCTGGCGACCTGCCATGTCTCGCATTGTGCAGCGGGCGATATCGACCGGGACTGGGGATCCCTAACTCAGGTGACCTCGGCGCGAAAACGCTCTGAGCAGCCGGCAGCGAGTTGCAGTTGAAGCAGAAGTGTGGTGAGCAGAAGGTGAAGGAACGGTGAAGACCTTCCCACCAGGCTTCAAGCTTTATATAGAAAAACATAGCTATCGCTTGGAATTTGGGGGCCGGGTAAGACTTCGCGAACTGGGAGCCGGGCATCGCCATAGGTACCTCAGGCGCATGGTTTCGCGGTTGTCAACTGAGCTGAGCAACCAAACTAGGTCTTGAGATCATGTCTTCCATCTTGTCGGTACTTGAAGGGCAAGGCATGGGGTGAGCGTAGGCAGCCAAGAGCAGCAACGTGTAAGCAGAGTTGCGCAATGGATAACCGAGACAAGCGCCTACATGCGGCATCGGCGCAGCATGTGAGAAACGAATAACTTGTAAGGGAATGGGAAGACGAGCTTCGGGGAGGTGGAGCTAGGGGGTGGGCATCAATGAACTGTGGGGACTACGGGTCAAGCCGCGGGCCCTAGCCACAGACTTTTCAAGCAAGCTTGTGGCTCTGGGGCGCAGGCGATAAATGTTTCGGTCTCGGACGCGGCCCTGCACCATCATCAATGCTCGTCACAGGGTTTAGGGTTTTAGGGGTCCGACTGCTGCCCCAAACCCGGATCCTCGAATCGGGAGCAAGAACGAAGGCTCAACGCCTTCCTCGAATTCTAGACCCGAACCCCCCCCCCCACAAAAACAACAAGCACATGTATATGTAATATAATATAATATAGTATAATACAAAATAAAATAAAATAATATAATATATACATGTATAATTTTAAAATTTAATAAAAGAATGCTCACAATAAGAAAAAAAGAAGAGACTAGGCGTCTAAACGGCCCAAGCCCCAAACCCTAAACTCTAAAGAAGATGTCACATCTGTGGGCCAAGCCGGGTTGGTTCTCCAGGCCAGTTCAATCCTTGGCTGCGTCTACAGGGGCTGTTCTTTCGCTTTTCTCGAGGGGTGGTTCTCGGGGTTGAGGGTTTAGCGCTTTAGGGGTGTGAGGCTTTCGGGGTTTAGTGGGTTGGGGTTTTAGGGGTTTCGGGAGTCTACGGGTGTAGCACTGTGGCAAGACCAGCTTAATTACGACTCCTAGTACGTTTAAACGAATTCCGAGCTAGGATTTGGGCTTTATGGGGCTTAAGGCTTGGAGGCTGAACTCTAGACAGGCTCACGATGACTTTTGCCCCAAAGGAAACCTGGAGGTTTAGGGTTTAGGGTTTAGGGTTTAGGGTTTAGGGTTTAGGGTGTAGGGTTGAACTCGCTGTTCTTTCATCTTTCGACCAAGACTCCCTCGATGAGTGGGACACTGCGAGAGTTCGAGCCCAAACAGGCCAGGCATATGTGGTATATTATACTATATTATAGGCATATATATATATATGTGTGTGTAAAGATGTATGTGTGTATATATATATATATATATCAACAGCTCGGTTCACTGATTGGATCGCTGCAATGAAGGTTTAGGGTTCGCCGGATTCCAGATGTGCTATTCCAGGAATCCGAAAAAGCAGGTGATTGTAAGCAGGAACATTGGTCGCACCTTTTGTTGTCCGTGGCTTTGGAGCGTCCACGCGCCGAGCTTACCATAGCTGCAGATTCTCCAGGGGTGGCAACATCTGCGCCTGAACACGGGTTCTGTTGGCTCAAGCCCTCAGCCATAGCCATGCCTTCAATCCCAAAGCTCTCCTTGAAAGTTCATGATTGGTTATAAGTAGGGTTATAAGTACCCTCAATAAAGCTCTAACCAGTTATAAGTATAGATACCCTACTTCTAACCCTATTTATACCTACCCATGATCCTCCAAGTATAACCCAGGGGTCCTTCTGCGCAAGCTGCCAGGAAGGTGGAAGCGTCAGCGGCCGAGACAAGTCCGCCCCCAGGCGTAGGCTCAGGTCTGGGTGCGGGCCAGATTCGAGGGTTCTTAAGGGACGGGGGGGGGGGGTTTCCAAGGGGGGTGTGCAACCCAGGGTCCCCCGAATACTCCCCACTCATGTTAAGGTCGCACCAAGAAACCGGGTGTGAATACCGGAAAGTATTTCGGCCGGGATTTTGGCCCAAAAGTTGGTTTCATGAACGATTTCCATTACGTTAGGTTTGTATGGAGCCTGATCTCCCACTCTTCGGGGGATGGACATATACAACAAGGAGTGTTCATGCCGGAAAGTATTGCGGGAGAATTTCCCAAGTATGGTTTTGAGGGAACTCCTCTTGCAAGCTCTTTTCACTCGAGGCAGAGGCAGTAGTTACGGCTGAGAGGTGCGTGGCCCAGAGGAGGCCCACCCAAAAAAGCCCAGAAGCGACCCGGAAGAGGCCGAGAAGAGAGGCCCAGAAGAGGCCGAGAAGAAGCCGAGGGCAGAAGAGGCAGAGAAGAGGCCAGGCCCCCAAGGTTCATTTTTACGTTTAGGGTTTAGGGTTTAGGGTTTAGGGTTCAGGGTTTAGGGTTTAGGGTTTTCCTGGCTTCCCCAAACTTTTGTTCTGACACAGCGACAAGTTTTTTGGGGGGGCATTAAAGCGACCCTAACACTACTCCCGAAGGCCCCCTAAGGTTTCCTAGGTACCGGGGGCATTAAAGCGACCCTGCTCCCTAAGGGTCCCGAAGCTTCCCTAAGGTTTCCTGGGCACCTGCCCACCTTGAACCCCCTCCCCTTAAGAACCCTAGAACCAGAGGTTTAGGGCCCCAAACGTGCCAGAGCGTAACCGTGGTTTGTCCCTACTTGCAGCTTTCTTATCACGATGGTTGAACATACAGCAAACCAGCTTTAGCTGCCTTGTAGACCTGTTTGTTAATGCCCACCTTCGAGTATCAATCTAAAACCCCAAACCCGGAAAAACCAAAACCCCAAAAACCCAAAACCCCACTCCCCCCCCCCCCCCCACCCCCTCCCCCCCGCCACCCCCCCCCCCCCCCCCCCCCAAAAAAAAAACAAAAACTTAAGCCCTAAGCCCGAAGCCCTAAACCCTAAACCCCAAACCCTAAACAAGCCCTACACCCTCAAAACCCTCAACGCCCACACGCGCGCTGAGGGCCCCGGGCAGGTGCATGCTGCCTGCACCATCTCTTCCGGGAGCCGCCAGTCCAGGGTCTGAGAGCAGCATTTAGGGTTTAGGGTTTAGGGTTTAGGGTTTAGGGTTTAGGGTTTAGGGTTTAGGGGACTCCCCCCCACCCCCGAAAAAAGAGAAATCCAAACCCTAAAGCCCAGATGCCTGAAATTTCAAAATCCCTTTGAGGAGTCTGGAAGCTAGGCTCAAGAGCCTGCGAGGCCAACTTGGAGGTTCATGGTACTTATGAACCAAGTATAACTGTTCTTATCACTGTACTTAGAACCAACTTGGGGACTGTCGATCTGTCTGGATGAGGGGCCGGGGTGACAGTGATTGGAGCTTCGCAGCGACCGCTGAGCCCCAAAACCCTGAAACGCTACATGTAGGGTTTAGGGTTTAGGGTTTAGGGTTTGGGGTTTGGGGTTTAGGGTTTAATGTTAACGTCGCTTTAATAACCCCCCCCCCCCCAAAAAAAAAAAACTTGATTTGGTCCCCGGGGTTTGGAGGGGTAGAAAAAAACGAGTGGGTGCCAATAATGCGGATTCTGGGGGTCTTGGGGGGGGTTAGCTGTCAGGGTCTGCTGTGCTTGGTCTCGAAGGGTTCTGCTTGCTCTCGGAGCTCGAAAAGTCTTCTCTGCAAGTAAAATTTCTGATTCCTGGCCGGCCAAATATTACTGTTGTCACTCCATTATTATTTTCACCGGACCCCCCTATATAGACTTGTTTACACACATCGGCCCGAAAACCTCCCGTAATGGAAAGTAGTCTTTCGCTGAGCCCCTCTGGCCCGGCGAATATTACAGTTGCCACCCCATTTATAGATGTGAGGTTAACATTAGGTTTTAGGGTTTAGGGTTTAGGGTTTTAGGGTTTTATGTAGTTTCTCTATCGCCTTGTTATCGCTGAGGCGAGGTTTGGAGTCTGAGACGCTGCGCCGGCAAAGGAGTGTCCAGGCGACTGATTTGCAGCTGAGCCACTTCATTGGTGAAGCCACATATGCAGCAAACACCTCAGGGATGGACTGCTGGCTGCCAACTCGTGCGAGACCCGAGTGAACCCTTGACCCATAGCCTCTCGCAAAAGCCGCACGCCCCAAAACACCAAGCAAAAGCACACTTATAAGGCTCCAGGCTAGTCATGTGCAGATTAACCCATGTACCCAACCCCTAAACGAAATCTCAGGAATGCCCATGAACCCTGAACCCTATTAGAAGCCCTAAACCCTAAACCCTAAACCCTGAACCCTAAACCCTAAACCCTAAGCCCTAAGCCCTAAGCCCTAAGCCCTGAGCCCTAAACCCTAAACCCTAAACCCTTTCCAAGCTCCCGGCTCGGGGCCACGCGACTTGGCGGGCTGAAGCTGGGCGAGTGCGGCTCGGCTGCTGCCTGTGCGCAACCCGGAAGATCAACTTGGATGCTGGTAATTTGGGTTTAGGGTTTAGGGTTTAGGGTTTAGGGTTTAGGGTTTAGGGTTTAGGGTTTAGGGTTTAGGGTTTAGGGTTTAGGGTTTAGGGTTTAGGGTTTAGGGTTTGGGGTAGACCATGGTCGACCCCTGCAATGCTTAGGCGGAGCCTCCAGGAGCGGCCGACCAAGTCCGCTACCTCTCCGAACCGAGGGGCTTTTCGGGAGGGATCGTCATCTTGGGAGGTCAGGCCAAGGTGTTAGGGGGTTTCAAGGCATTCCGTCCACTCCATGCCGCTTAAGCCCTAAACCCTTTAAGTCATTCAGAAGTGTATCAAAGCTGGTGAAGCTGCTGCCATGCTCTTGACTTAGGACTTAGGATGCTCCCCCTTATACTAACAAATCCTTAATAGGGATCATAATAGGGGTACTGTAATTGCTATTTACTTAGCGCTGTATTAGTACAAGGGGAAACATCCCAACTCCTATGGATGGAGCTCCAAGGCCCCTGACCAAGCATGAAGCCCCGAGGCCTCGCAGAAGCGCACGGGCTGCAGCTGCGCTGCCGGGCATGCCGCCCAACTCCAGCTCACCTGCACTGAGCTGGGTTTAGGGCTCAGGGCTCAGGGCTCAGGGCTTAGGGTTTAGGGTTTAGGTTTGGAGTCAGTGCAATCTTGGTAAGCTGAGAAAACGTGCGAAGCATTTTCGGTCCAGACACTTAGTTACCTTCAACCTTCAATCACTTTCCAGCTCATCTGTGCGAAGTCGGTCTACAAGCCCTGAGCCCGAAACATGCCCAAACCAGGACTCCCTAAAATGTCCTCCAAGGCAGCCAAGGCACTCATCTCGTGCCCCAGTGGTAGCAGCTGGCCGGGGAGGTCCGAGGATGGGGAGGCCACCTCCCGCAGTTGCGAGGTAGCTCGCAGGTCGGCATCACGCTTTACCTTGGCTGTTGTGGTGGCCTTAGGCCCTTTCAGGGTTAGGATTTCGGATGGGTTTGGGCTCAAGGTTAGGATGTTTAGGATGCTGACGGGGGCCGATCCTTTTTTTGTGGCAGCGATGCTGCGCTTCGACCTTTTATCTGCTACTTAGACGTTCATAGACGGTTATAGTAGGGTTCCAAGTAGGGTAACTATGATTACAACCGGTTCGAACCTCGTTCACGGTACTTGCAACCCCACTTAGAACTAACCACGAACCTCCACGTAGGCCTGCACTCGCAAAGTCGCACACAAACCCTCAGCTTTTCTCGCCTGCGGCCATGCGGCATGTGCGGAGCATGGTGACAGGATCAGGATTTGCGAGACCTTTGCAGCCGCAATCTACGCAGCATGAGAGCGAAGACGCCTACACCCTGGGGTCCAGACGCCTGCGTCCTGTGCCCACCGCAGCAAATCCTGCATCAGCAATGGCGGCAGTTTCAAGCGCGAAGGGAATAATCTCCGGTGTGATGGGCCTGATCTGATCTACGAGCGACGATTTTGGAAAGGGGAGAGGGGAAAAGACTCAGCAGAGCTCTCGCCTTCGCAAGCGTTTGGCGCTTTCCTTCCACCGCGCCCGACCGAAGTTGAAGCACGGACAGCATCGGAGTGCTTGCAGCCTCCAATCCAGGGCTTAGGGTTTGGGGTTGAGGGTTGAGGGTTTAGGGTTGAGGGTCGAGGGTTGAGGGTTGAGGGTTTAGGGTTGAGGGTTTAGGGTTGAGGGTTTAGGGTTGAAATTTCATGTGCTATTGCTGGATGTGTCCTGACGATGCAACGATGCAAAGCATGCTCCGCGCAATTGCCTGGAGCGCATGAAACCTCAGGAGTTCAAAAGACTCAAAGTCAAAGCCCTAACCTTTGGCCCTAAACCCCAAGAAACCCTTTTGCTCAAAGCCCAAACCTTTGACCCTAAACAAGAAACCCTTTTACTCAAAGCCCGAACCTTTGACCCCAAACCCCAAGAAACCAATTTACTCAAAGCCCGAAATCAACGAAGTCATGGATAAGGCCCACTCTCCTAACCTTTGACCCTAAACCCCCAAAAAACCCGAGGAAACCACCCGCAGCCGGGCCTGATAAAGTTCCGCGGCCGTTGTGATGGCCGGCACTTTCCTGCATCGGCTTTCTGCGCACAGCATGGCGAATACCCTAAACCCTAAACCCTAAACCCTAAACCCTAAGCCCTAAGCCCTAAGCCCTAAGCCCTAAGCCCTAAACCCTAAACCCTAAACCCGAGGAAGTCCCTTTAGCCAAGTACTACAGGGGTGTAGGGTTTAGGGTTTAGGGTCAGCAAAAGGAAATTGAGGGTTTGCAGAGCCCAAAGCTTTTTCTAGGCTGACTGCAAAATCGCACGACCAACTCAAAAACGTATCTGTTGGGGCTCCTGAGAAACTAAGGATCCCTTAAGCCCGGTACCCTTAAACCTACATATCGCTATGACAAGAAACCCTAAACTCTAAAGACCCTGAAACCCCTAAAAGCCCTAAAACCCTCAAAACTCGAACCCTAAACCCTGAACCACTAAATCGCCAATAACTTTAAACCTCAAACACCTTAAAAGACCCTCCAAAACCTCACATCCCCCCCCCCCCCCCCCCCCCCCCCACAGGCCCCTCGAAGGCGTTGGCCATGGCCACGGGGAGGATGTGCCGATGCTGAGCCTCGGCTCTCAGGTTCATGACTAGTTTTACGTAGCGTTCTAAGTAGCCTAGATAGGGTTACAACCAGTTGTCATCATAGCTACCCTACTTATACCCCAATTATGACTACCCATGAACCTCTGCGTAGGGTTCAGGGTTCATTCGCCCCGCGCTCCGCAACCTACAGTGGGTGAGATTGCACCTCTGCCTGGCAGGGGCAGCTTTGCTGAGAGACACTACAAAGCCAAGGCCAAAACCCTAACGACTAAACCCTGAACCTTAAACCCTAAACCCTAAACCCTAAACCCTGCAGAAACCCGAATGGCTGCGGCCGGCAAACGATCGCCACTCGCTGTAGCCCATAGCTGGTAATCAGGGCATCCACGGCCAACTCTCCAAGGTGGGCGATGCCTTCTCAGAGGTTTTAGGATTCAGGGTTTAGGGTTTGGGGGGTTTGGAGGGGTTTAGGGTTTAGGGCTTAGGGTTTAGGGGTTGGGGGTTTAGGGTTCAGGGTGCTTCGTGCTTAGAGGAATGTACAGGGGCCGCAAGGCCTTCCAAGGCCCAAGGCCCCCCAACCCCCCCCACCCCCACCCCCTAAACCCTGAACCCTAAAACCTAAACCCTAAACCCTAAACCCTAAACCCTAAACCCTAAACCCTAAACCCTAAACCCTAAACCCCTCTCACCTCCGGAGCCTGGCAAGACCAGCGTGTGGCCTCTCAGCTCAGGGGCGTCCCCTGTGGGCACCTGGGTTTCGGCACTTAGGGGCCTTGCGGTAATATGCTCATTATATATATATATATCTATATCTATATCAATATCAATATCTATATATATATATATATATATATATGTATACATACAGACATACATAACATAACATAACATAACATAACATAACATAACATAACATAACATAACATAACATAACACAACATAACACAACACAACACAACACAACACAACACAACACAACACAACACAACACAACACAACACATATATGTATATATATATATATACACATATACACATATATTCACATATGTATATATATATATATATATACCCATATATGCGTGTATATATATATATGTGGCAAGGACCTTTATGTTCTATTTGGCGCAGGGCTCTGTTTACCTTTATCCCATACTTAAATCGATACATATATATGTATATATACATACTTATGTACCATTTGGCTTTTGCTCTTGGTTACCAAATAATTTGCATATACCTTTACTTGACATGTCCGTTATCATACTTCAGAGCTTTCGTTTTCTCTCCGTGCACGATTGCCCAGGCCGAGATACCAGACATACCGCCCATAAAAGAAAAGAAGAGAGAAAGAGAGAAGAGAGAGAGAGAGAGAGAGGGAGAGAGAGAGAGAGAGAGAGAGAGGAAAAGAAGAGAGAAAGAGAGAAAGAGAGAGAGAGAGAGAGAGGGAAAGAGAGCGAGAGAGGGGGAGAGAGAGAGAGAGAGAGAGAGAGAGAGAGAGAGAGAGAGAGAGAGAGAGAGAGAGAGAGAGAGAGAGAGAGAGAGAGAGAGAGAGAGAGAGAGAGAGAGAGAGAGAGAGAGAGAGAGAGAGAGAGAGACAGAGAGAGACAGAGAGCTAGAATGAGCGTGAGAGTGACAATGAGAGTGAGAAGGGCACAGACAGAAAGAGAAAGAGAAAGAGAAAGAGAAAGAGAACGAGAAAGAGAAAGAGAAAAGAGAAAAGAGAAAAGAGAAAAGAGAAAAGAGAAAAGAGAAAAGAGAAAAGAGAAAAGAGAAAAGAGAAAAGAGAAAAGAGAAAAGAGAAAAGAGAAAAGAGAAAAGATAAAAGAGAAAAGAGAAAAGAGAAAAGAGAAAAGAGAAAAGAGAAAAGAGAAAAGAGAAAGAGAAAAATACAGAGAAAAGAGAAAGAGGAAAGGGAAACATAAAGAGAAAGAGCGAGAGAGACAGAGAGAGAGAGAGAGAGAGAGAGAGAGAGAGAGAGAGAGAAAGGGAGGGAGGGAGAGGGTGAGAGGTGAAAAGAAAGAACGTATGCCTAAGCTGAATGAAAAAGAAGAAGTCCCTTTTTTCTCTGCGTTCCCACTTATCGCTTCCATTCCTATTCTTCTCTTCGTGTAGGGCATGGCACGAGAGAGGGGGTGAAAGCGGATGAGTGAAAGCGGCATAGGCGGGGCGAAATCGTCCTTTCGCTACTTTCTTCGCCCTTCTTTTGCTTTCTCATTTGAGAAGGGTGCGGAAAGGAGGGAAGGGTAGGGCGGAAAGGAGGGAAGGGTAGGGCGTGGAATGATGCGAGGGAAGGCAAAAGGGGACAAGAGAAAGTGAAAGTGTGAGAGAGAGAGAGAAGAACAAAAATCGCGCGAGAAAGAGAACATGGGAGACGAGGAAGGCTTCAGCAGAGAAAGCGAGAGAGCCACGAGTATGGCCCTATCCCATCCCAGTGTTACTGTATCTCAGGGGCCTCCGGGCCTCGCGGAGCCTGTAGGGGGCCTGCAGGGGCATCCAGAATTTTCTGGAAGCAACGGGCGTCCAACCCTTCCCCAGCCTGCCATGTGACATTGTGTCCTCCTCCCCTCCTGTTCCCTTCCTCACCCCCCTTCCCATACCCTTAAAAGACAAGAAAGGAACGAAGAGAGCGAGAGAGTCTTTCATTCTTGCTCTTCCTGCTTCCACTTCCTCCTCAGTAAGAAACAATCAGATAAAGACAGGAGGAGGGGAAAGCCAACAGGCAGCAAAAGGCTGTTTTTTGTACTGACTTCCTCCTTCATTCACTTCATTGCTTCTCTCTTCTTCTCTATGTTTCTCTGTTTCTCGCTCTGTCTCCCTTCTCCGTCTGCGCTTATTCTTTCTGTATATTTATAGTTTCCCCATTCTTCTCACCTACATCCGTCCTTATGAACGTTTCGTTGCAGGTGTGCTCCTCACTGCCTATTTCTAAAGCCCTTTGCCATACGTCTGTTTCTCAGGAGCCTACAGGGGTTTCCAATGAGAGGCTTTCCAGAGAGAGCTTCAAATCGGGAAGAGGGGCGAGAGAGGAAGACGCTTTCTACCCCTTTCGAATTTAAGAACAAAAAAAGAGTAAGGTAGACGGAACAAGGAGAACCCCTCTTTCTTTCTTGTCGTTCCCGTCTCCTCTCTTATCCTTGACCTACGTCTTGGAGGGGCTAGGAGAAATGGGGCACGGGATGGGGAGGAGCAAGCGGGAGGAGAATGAAGAGGAGAAGAGACAGGAAGGGGAGAGCGGGCGAGAGAGAGGGAGAGAGACTTTGAGAATGATACGATAAAAAAACGCAACAAGCGAAAATGAATGGTGGACAGAAAGGGAGTGGAGAAAGGGACGGTCTGAGTCTTTGGGGTCACTCTGAAAACAGCTTGGAGAGGACAGCTGCTTCTCTCTCCTTTTTTCTGTTTCTCTCTCTCTTGCTCCGCGTCTGTCGTTCTCCTTCCCTCGTTCTGTCAGTGATTTACACTCCTTTTCAATATCCGCCAGGGCCTGCAGTTTTCGCAGGGGGCTGCACCGAGGGGTTCCCTGAAAGGGCCTCCCAGGGGTTTGAGAGAAGATGGGACTGTGAGGAAGGCCCTGTCCTCCCATTTCCAAGAAGAGAACATTCATTTGCGTCGCTTTTATTATATTATTATTCTCTTCACAGTGTTCTTTCATCCTCGGTTTCGTTCATTTAATATTTCATTTCACGCGATCGCTTATTTCATGCGCTCACTTGAAAATTTAATATTAAATTCTCTTCATATTATATTATTCCTCTCTTGTCAGTACCTTCACTCTTCCTTCTCATCCTTGACGTTCTGCTTCCATTTCCCTCTTGAAGGAGAACTCCTGCTCCTCTCTTGTCATTACCTTTGTTCTTTCATTCACTGTTGAATGGCGCGTAAAAAAAACGGGAGGAGCGGGGAGGAAAGAGGAAAGAGCAAGAAGGAAGCGGGGAAGAGAAAGGAAGGAAGGAAGGAAGGCAGGAAGGAAGGAAGGAAGGA